CCTAGTGTGAGTCGGCCTACACCCTGTTTCAATATCAGACATCTGGGGCAAATAGTGGACTGCTGAGTGTGTGTTTGTGCGTTGGTGTGTGTGTGAGAGAGTGAAATGTTGAATCACTTAATAAGCAATGACCCCCCCGTAACGTTAGGTATTAGAGACCCCCATGAACTTCAGATTACAACTGGAACCCTGTTCTGATTGGTCCAGTTGAATGCATGCGCTAGTGGGCTGGAGGGCGCACTTCGCCCCTGTGTACACGTCTTTACTGTTTACAAAGAGAAACAAGTATACGGCCACCCTAAGAAAATGGGTGATCACCCCAGTGGCCCCCTGGCACAGAGCATATGTATAAAATGCTATACTGTATATATTATGTGACCCCCTGCGTTTGAGTTAAAAGGTGAATCGCAGCATCCAAGTGTTCTCATATTAGGCTCCGTCACTTTAAGAGCGGAACCTCTGACCCTGAGCTGTGACAGACTGTGATGTTTATTTTAGAGAGGCCTCTGATTCGTCCATGTAGATGGCAATCACGTTTCTAAAATTGTGACTGGTTAAGGGGCGGGACTAAGAGGCAGAGCAGATCTGAAGGGCACCGGTGTTTTGCCGAATGTATGTGTTTTCTTTGGAGGCAGCGACCGACTGCAGAAGAAAGAAAAGTCTAATTGAATTAATATACAGAAACAGACCTGACTAGTTTATAATAAGTTATAATACTGTGTGAGAGCTTCGAGGGAGACCGAATCTTTCCTCATCTTTCTGAGAGGATTGCAAAACGTGAGAACAGCGGGAGTCACCTGGACGATGCTGTGAAACTGGGCTCAACGTTACTTGGAAGGGTAACCATCGCAACGAACACTGCGGGGCCACAACGAGTCTGCTGCTGCTCCCTGCATGGGCAAACTGTTGTGCTGGATCGGTTGAGACCGGGCTACGGATTACTGTGTCATGATGTTGTCATATAGCCGCTTTCATCCTGCCTTATTATTCGGGATTATTAGGCCAATATGCTGCTCGCTGCGCTGTATGTACGGAGCTGGGAACGGGATATATGTTGGCGGACATTCTTTCCGTTATGATCGCAGGATCTCTGGATCCCTAAAACCTGCTCTGTGCCTGTGCTTGTGACTTCAGCGGTGTTGAGCTCACTGCTCTTTGCTTGTGGCCTGTAGGCTCATTTGTTCTGAGCTTGGTTGTGTCTGCTTAAATATGGCATTCATAGTTTAGTTTTGTCACAGCGATACTGTAACTTGTGTCAATGCCTCTCTCTCTCTCGCTCTCTCTCTCTCTCTCTCTCTCTCTCTCTCTCTCTCTCGCTCGCTCTCGCTCTCTCTCTCTCTCTCGCTCGCTCTCGCGCTCTCTCTCTCTCTCTCTCTCTCGCTCGCTCTCGCTCTCTCGCGCTCTCTCTCTCGCTCTCTCTCTCTCGCTCGCTCGCGCTCTCGCTCTCTCTCACTCTCTCTCGCGCTCTCTCTCTCTCGCTCTCTCGCTGCTCTCTCGCTCTCTCTCTCTCTCTCTCGCTCTCTCTCGCTCTCTCTCGCTCGCTCGCGCTCTCGCTCTCTCTCACTCTCGCGCTCTCTCTCTCTCTCTCGCTCGCTCTCTCTCTCTCGCTGTCTCTCGCTCGCTCTCTCGCTCGCTCTCGCTCTCGCTCTCTCGCTCTCTCTCTCGCTCGCTCTCTCGCTCTCTCTCTCTCGCTCTCTCTCTCGCTCTCTCTCGCTCTCTCGCTCGCTCTCTCTCTCTCTCTCGCTCGCTCTCTCTCTCGCTCTCTCTCTCTCTCGCTCGCTCTCTCTCTCTCGCTCTCGCTCTCTCTCGCTCTCTCGCTCGCTCTCTCGCTCTCTCTCTCTCGCTTGCTCTCTCGCTCTCTCTCTCTCTCTCTCTCTCTCTCTCTTCATCATGCTCACCATAAACTGGTGCTTTGTGCTGTGCTGGTTCTGACTCTGTTTTGCTATAGACCTCATTTCTGCTGTCTGTCTCATGTTCACTATGGCAGCACTTGTAGGCCTACTGGTGCCAGTGGTGGGTAGAGTACTCAAAATCTTTACTCAAGAAAAAGTACAATTACTCCCATAAAAAGTAAAAGAACAAACGTGACAATTCTATTTCATCTGCTGTTCAGCAGGTTAGAAACAGCTGTGCAACAGGTTATTTCTATTCTTTCTTATTTCTTTGCCTGCAAATCATCACTTTTGGTATATTTCTCAGTTGTTTACTATTTGTTGTAAAATAGTAAAGCATTGTTTGTTCTTATTGCCTGAACTGTGAATGAGCCTTTGTAGCCTGAGCAAACCACTGTTAGGACTTTCTTTGTCTCTGATATCGACGCAGTAATGTCCAGAACTAGTGGATTCCAGAGGAATGGATTGTTTGAACATCACTGTCCTTTTCCATGTCTAGAATGGTCCCTGCTTTTTTTCATTTTACTCAGCAGGAGTGGAAAGATTCTTTTTTCACAATTGCACACTTGTCAGGGGATAAGGAATAGAAATAGTAATAAATAATAAGCATCCTCCTCTCTGACACCACAGACAGAGTCCAGCTCCACCCTCATGTCACTGGCCTTGGATCAGGTTGTTGAGCCTGTTAGCGTCCGCTACCCTCAACCTGCTGCCCCAGCATGCAACAGCAAACAGGACAGCACCGGCCCCGACGGACTCATAAAACATCCTCAGCATCGTCCTGCAGATGTTGAAGGACCTCAGCCTCCTCAGAAAGTAGAGACGGCTTTGGCCCTTCCTGTAGAGGGCCTCAGTGTTCTTGGTCCAGTCCAGTTTATTGTCCATGTGCACTCCCAGGTATTTGTAGTCCTCCGCAATGTCCACAGTGACCCCCTGGATGGAAACAGGGCTCACTGGTGCCTTGGCTCCCCTTAAATCCACAACCAGCTTCTTAGTCTTTGTCACGTTGAGCTGTGGGTGGTTCTGCTCGCACCATGTGACAAAGTCCCCCACCACAGCTCTGTATTCGGATTCGACACCCTGCTGATACATCCAACCACAGCAGAGTCATCAGAAAACTTCTGAAGATGGCCGGACTCTGTGTGGTAGTTGAAGTCTGTGGTGTAGATGGTGAAGAGGAAGGGAGCGAGGACAGTCCCCTGCGGGGCCCCGGTGTTGCTGACCACGCTGTCTGACACACAGTATTTCAGGCGCACATACTGTGGTCTGCCAGTCAGGTGGTCAACAATCCAGGACACGAGGGGGGCATCCACCCGCATCGCTGTCAGCTTCTCACCCAGCAGGGCCTTGACAACTTCAGTTTCAATATGCCATTTTTTCAGTCCTATTTTAGCTGGTAGTTTCACATTTATTGTGGAATATACCAAGTTCCCATCTCCGGATCAAAATGGTCTGCAACTGGGAGTTTCTGTTTGAATCAACTGCTTCACCTGATCTTGAGTGAGGCCATCAATTTAGTTTTCTAGTCATTTCTCTCCACACAGTACGGGTACAAGCAGTGTCAATTGCTGATCTCAATGATTCAGTCATGAATACGTCTGCGTCTGACATGGAGGCCTTTGTAAACAATGTAATGTTAAATTCCTCTCCATTTGCATCTTCAGTTTGCTTATAGGGACAGTCTTTAGCCCTATGAAATGAGCACTGGCAAATAGCACACCTGGATCGTTTACGGAACTTGTCCAGTGGATTAGTCCCCGGTAAAGGCTGCTTTAGTTGTCCACTTTGCAATGTAGTGTTCAGTGTTCCTTTTCCTTGGGTTCTTTGTTCTGTGAAAAACGGCACGTCCTGGTTCACTTGTATTCCATTTCACGAGCCTGTCGGTTTCCCCACGAATATCCTTTTTAGAGCTGATTTCATGAAGGAGAAGGTCAAGTCAGTGCAGGCTGTCAATGCTAGCTGTCTGCTTTTTTACGTTAAGGCGTGCAGTGTCTAGTAGCTTAAAAGCTAGCACAGCTTCAGGAAGCGTCATTCTATACTTTTTCAATCGGTTATATCCAGGGTTCCATTTACGTGGGAGGCAGTGGGAGCTTAGCTACCATAAGGACGGTCTGAGCTATAGACGCAGTAAAATCATGCATCTGTCGGGGTCTCTAATTCATAACAATCATTATTTTGAATCACAAATAATGTATTTTTCATTGTAATTAGTACATACTATTATTTACATTAAAAAGATAAACAGACTTAAATGAACACTAGGAAAGTGTGTTCATGAACTACGCTGCACATCACATGACTGACAGGATGGCTGCACTTCTCCACCATCAGCCACTATCGTGCTCACAGTTTTGATCTAATAGGTTGAGGCTGCAACCCACGAACATGAACTAAAGTTGTTTTGTAGCCTACTGTATTACTCTGTATTGACTGCAGCTTATTTGTTTAGTATTATTGGCTATTATTGGCTTTTTGATGCATCCTCCAGTGCTACAAATAATAATATGCTACGGTGTGCCGGCAACAAGCAGTGCGTAAAATAATAACACTTTAACATTAGACACGTTAATATAAGGCAGAATTGCGGTCTCTCCTTGAGCAATAGTCTTTCATGGCATATTTCAGGCGATTGAAACGGAATCACTTATGCCAGAGCAGCGTACTACTCGTCATTAATAGAGGAAAATAGGAACAACCCCAGGTTTTTTTCTATGAAGATTCTCAGTCATCCAGGTCATAGTTATCCAACGAAGGTTAAAATCAAGGGCAACTGGACTTGGTTGAAGCTACTGGAAGACGTTTCGTCCCTTATCCAAAGGACTTCTTCAGTTCTGACTGACTGGCAGGGAAACTCAGCTATTTAACCTCAGTGGGGTCGTTGGCCCGGGTCATCGATACCGCTGGTTCGTTAGTGTTCCTTGTTGCTGTGACGACAGTCGTTACAGTCGTTGAGACTACCTGTGGCCAAGACTGAACGACCATCGTTGGTATCTTCACCTGAGGCCAATAGGTTACGTTTGTTGAGTTTCCTGGGAAGTGATGAAAGGACAGCATTGTAAGTGAGGGATAAGTGGTGGCGTAGACCCCCTCCCCCTGTTCAATGACGGCTTCTCAACCCTGGTGTAGATGCTTCCTTGACACCTCTTTCAAACCATCCATCTTCTCTGTCTAAAATGTGCACCTGGTGGTCCTCAAACGAGTGTCCTCTGTCCTTCAGATGTAAGTAGACTGCCATCATCCACCCATCCTCTGCTAACAATGTTACTTGGAATAAACATGCCATTTATTCAGTTTGTTCACTTTTATTCTCTGCACGGCAGGGACTCCATGTCCACATGTTACGCCGCCAGCAACAACAACATGAAGAACATTCTGCTTTTTTTTTACACCAGGAAGCACCTGGTGCCATAGTGAATAGTGTAGAGGAGAAACAACATGTTAACAGAAAGTTCCAGAAGAAACAATGGAAAAAACTGGTAGAGCATTCAGGAATGGAAAATTACCCAGGAAGAAGATTTTGGAGTGGAAATCTTCCAAGGGCACCGCCTAAAGTAGGAGGAGACTGAGGGCTATAAAATAGTTTGTCTGGAAGCCTGCCAAGATGTAACTTGGGTTTTTTGTCTTTTTACAGATTTAATTATTATTATTATTATTATTATAGAATTATGCAGATTTGACTGTCTACAGTGAGCTTTTTTGGACTCCAAGTTACTACCTAGTTTTACAAATATGTTTATAATGGTGAAGACGAATATTGATTGCTTTTTCTTCATCAGTTGCTTTAACATATGCATTTTCTATTTAGTGGTAATTTTACTCATGATGGCTCTCTTATTTGAAGGTGTAGGCAGTGTGCCACTTCAGAATGACATGGAGTCCAGCCCACAGTGCAGCAGGAGCTCTAACTGGCTCATACTATAAACACAGCTCTTGTGTCAGCCAATCAGAGCTCCTGTTGCTGCTCTGATACATTTGTGTTACAGTTTTCCTTCAGGTGGACAGTACTGCCTGATTTTAGCAGGGAACCATGATGACTGCAGAGGACCTTTTGAACACTCTGGAGGATTTAAGAGAGGAGGAATTTACAAAGTTCAAATGGTGTCTGAAGCAGTGTGACTTCCCGGGAGACTACCAGACCATCAAAGAGTGCGAGCTGGAGAAGGCTGACAGGTTGAAAACAGTGGACCTGATGGTGAACGCTTATAAACCTCATGGAGCTCTAGAGGTGACCAAGAAGGTTTTAGAGAAGATACCCAGGAATGACCTGCTGCAGAGTCTGCCAGACACCAGCTCAGGACCAGAAGGTCGGTCAACATTTTTACATTCGTATTTTCAGGCACAAACAGCAGGTTGGCGTGGGCAACACTATACTTGTAAAGGAACTGGGTGTCTCAGTACAGAATCTCATTACAGTCAGCAAAGAGTAAAATTTGAGGTCCGATCTCGTTATTATGAGAAATGGTTATGATGAATGGCCTGATTTCATTCTCGACAATATGACCTCACTTCCTGTTTTTCACAAATATTTGTTAGCCTATAACTGCAAAAGGTTTTAGTCAGATCAAAATTTCCTCTACAAACTCGATCGACTTGCAGCTTCAGAGGAGTTAATTAAAATAGGTTTTTCAGTTTTTATGATGCAGCAAAAAAAAGTCTAGGCAGAAAGGGGTGTGGCCTATACCAGGAGATTCAGATCGATCCCCCAAATGCGCGGATATAAGGTTTTTATATCCGCCTTCATATGCGGGAGTTACAGCGATTTGAAAGTGCAAAACTTTGGACCTTGCTTAGAGTGCCCCTAGAGGTAGAAGTGAGCAAAATTTTTCGCATGCCGTTGTCTCATGGGCCTGAACCTACCCTGTGAGTTACGTTTAGGCTGCAGTATCGGAATTAGGTGAAAATATACAGAAGAATAACAACAATACAAACCAAAGTGATTACAATAGTGTTCCCAGCTCCGCTGGTACTGAGCCCACTCGGTCTTGGACCTTAAGTCAAACTGCAAATATAACAATCTCTCTCTCTCTCTCAGTGTCAGTGGAGGTCAGTGACGTTGGAGGGAACAGAGGACCTTCCTCCTCTCAGTGTGAAGGTACAGCTGCTGGATTCTCTGGTATGTACGGAAGCCCTGAAGGACAGAGTGAAGTTTTTGAGTTTGATATAATTTATAATAATATAATAATTCAGTATTGATGAGTTCGAACTGAATTACAGATGTCTCTAACTGTCGTTTTGACAGCCAGAATCACCTTAAAGATATCTTGAATAAACATCTGGACTAGTCACCATGACATTGTTGATCTGTAATGTTAATTCTGGATAGCAGAAGCAGACTGAGGTGAGGACCCAAACACAGTTCACAGCAAAGAGGATGCAGTTCAAACAAAAGATTTATTCAGCAACTTAAACAGGCTTACTCATGAGCACAGCAGGCAAAAGGTCCATCAAAGGCATCTCCAAACAGGCAGAGTAAAATCCAGAACAGGGCCGAGGAAACAATCCATATGCAAGGAAGGGATCCATGAAACAAAGAAACAGGCAGGAACACTCAACATTAGATGCAAAGACTGAAGACACAAGCAGGCATAAATACGCACACAGGGACTAACGAGCGGGGCGTGAGCAACACAGGTGAGGGGGATCAGGACTAATCAGACACAGGCAGGCAGAGAGACAGCAGGGGAAACAGACAGACACCAATAAGGCCATAGGGAAACTAATAATAACCAGGAAGAAACAGAACATAAATAACTGAACCAGAACATAAGCAGACAGATCACTAATATAACTAAACTACAACTAACAGGGAAAACAGACTGAACTAAGATTAAACAGAACGCAGAGCTGTCACACTGCCTGTCTGATCGGCCCGGTTTAGTTTAGGTCTCTGTGAGTTTTGTTTATTGGTCTGTTCAGTATCTGTTATTTACAGATAACATACTATTTATACATATTTAACAAAGGACTAGACTTAGCTACCAAACCCTAAACATGACAAGATTGAATAAAGCTATAGAAACACAGAATCCAAAAACAGACAAAAAAACAGGAAAGACATGAAGACAAAACCACACTCCTAACAGTTTATAGAATGGCTTACTAGTTAGCATGCATGACTCCCAGTGTGAAGGTTGGTTCTGGACTATTCAGATTTTTATCTAGAAAAAAAGAACACTAATCTTATCTAATCTAATTAAAATTTAAATCATTTAAACCACGTGTATTTAGTATTAATAATCTTGTAATTAATTCCTTTGACTAAGTATATGTACTTATATAATTTGTTTAAAACAAAAGAATGGTCATATCTAAAGGTGCTTTCACTTAAATGTGATATGTATGTGTAGGTGTACAAAAGAGAAGGATGGGTTCAAACCTAAACGTTAACTTAGCAACTACACAACTTGCTCCAAAATCTTCTTAGTTTCTCTTCAGAAAGGAACCTTGAGCGAAATAAAAGCATTGACTGTAGACATGCAGCCTAATTTAGTTTTTTCTAATCATGTAACACAGATGTGATTGTTCCAGAACCAGAGCCACAACCCATCTCATATTACAAACACTTACTTCAGTCGAACCTCCAGGATAAGTTTATGTGTGCACAAGAGGGGTGGGCTCAGAAGAAGGATGAGCAGCATCTGGATGAAATCTACACAGACCTTTACATCACAGCTGGAGCTAACGTACACATTAACACACAGCATGAGGTCAGGCAGATTGAGGCTGTGGTGAAGCCAGCTGAAACAGAGAAACCAATTGAACCCAGTGACATCTTCAAACCCCCCTCTGGGAGTTATAAACCCATACGAACTGTGCTGACCAATGGAATCGCAGGAATTGGCAAAACATTTCTTGTGCACAAGTTTGTGTTGGACTGGGCTGAACGAAGAGCCAATCAAGATGTGCATCTGGTATTCCCCTTCACCTTCCGCCAGCTGAATCTATGGAAGGAAGAAAAATTGTATTTGGCAGAGCTGATTCATCGTTGTATTACAGAGACCAGATGCATCAAGAAAGAAGCTCTTAATCACATCTTTACAACTCTGCAGTTATCGGGAAACACCAACTATGACAAAAGTAAATTCAAACTTCTCTTTGTTTTGGATGGACTGGATGAGAGCTGCCTTCAACTAGACTGCTCTACCAGTAAAAACCAGACAGTTAACTTCGATGTTACAGAGTCCACCTCAGTGGAGAAGCTGCTGACAAACCTCATCAAGAGGAACCTGCTGCCCTCTGCTCGCCTCTGGATAACCACACGACCTGCAGCAGCCAATCAGATCCATTCTGATTTTGTTAATATAGTGACAGAGGTCAGAGGGTTCACTGACCCACAGAAGGAGGAGTACTTTATGAAGAGGTTCAGAGATGAGGAGCAGGCCAGCAGCATCATCTCCCACATCAAGACATCACGAAGCCTCCACATCATGTGCCACATCCCAGTCTTCTGCTGGATCACTGCTACAGTTCTGGAGGAGGTGTTGAAGACCAGAGAGGGAGGAGAGCTGCCCAAGACCCTGACTGAGATGTATGCAGAATTCTTGGTTCATCAAACAAAGCAGAGGAATGAAGAAAAGTGTATTCAGTACATCAAGTCATTAGCAAAACTTTCTTTCCACCAGCTGGAAAAGGGCAACCTGATCTTCTACGAGAAAGATCTAAAAGAGAGCGACATAGATGTCCGGGGGGCTTCGGTGTGCTCAGGAGTGTTCACAGAAATCTTTAAAGAGGAACGGGGGAAGCGGAAGGAGGACGACAAAATGTTTAGCTTCGTCCATCTGACCATTCAGGAGTTTCTGGCTGCTCTTCATGTTCATCTAAAATTCATCAAATCTGGTGTCAATCTGCTGGCTACATCCTGGAGGTCTAAATTTAATTACAAACGGAATCTAAAACATCTCTACCAGAGTGCTGTGGACAAGGCCTTACAGAGTCCAAATGGACACCTGGACTTGTTCCTCCGCTTCCTCCTGGGACTTTCACTGCAGACCAATCAGACTCTCCTTCAAGGTCTGCTGACACATACAGGAAGTACCTCACAGACCAATCATAAAACAGTCCAGTACATCAAGGAGAAGTTGGAGGAAAATCTCTCTGCAGAGCAAATCATCAATCTGTTCCACTGTCTGAATGAACTGAATGATCGTTCACTAGTGGAGCAGATCCAACAGTCCCTGAGTTCAGGAAGTCTCTCCACAGATAAACTCTCTCCTGCTCAGTGGTCAGCTCTGGTCTTCATCTTACTGTCATCAGAAAAAGATCTGGACGTATTTGACCTGAAGAAATACTCTGCTTCAGAGGAGGCTCTTCTGAGGCTGCTGCCAGTGGTCAAAGCCTCCAACAAAGCTCTGTAAGTACAGAGGAAGTTTTATTTGTGACGTTTTAAATAGTCTGCTATCTTTTCAACAGGAAAGAAAAAAACCTTACTACTATTAATTTCTTTCTTACTCTTATTCTCAGACTCAGTGGCTGTAACCTCTCACACAAAAGAGGCTTTCAATGGCTTAAAAAAATCAATGAGACAATTAGTCACAAGAAAACCACACAAGCTTCATCTTGTTGTTCCTTATTTTGTGGCTCTCCACAGTGACGATCAGCTAAGAGTTTGACATTATTTATTTCTAACCAGGAGATGCGTCTTCATTATAACCTTTATTTAAGGCAAGGCAAGGCAAAGCAAGTTTATTTGAATAGCACAATTTAACAACAAGGTAATTCAAAGTTCTTTACATAAAACATAAAACATAAAAGCAACAGGGAAATATGATAAAAGTTACAGTGTTACAATCAGGATTAAAAGAGTTAAATGGAAAATAATAAAAAGTTAAAAACAAAGAAAAAGAACACAGGACAGTAAAAGTTACAGTGTAAGTTATCAATAAAAAGAAAAATCTTAAATATTTAATTAAAAGCAATGGTAAAATGAAAAGTCTTCAGTCTTAATTTAAAAGAACTGACAGTTTCAGCAGACCTGCAGTTATCTGTGAGTTTGTTCCAGATGTACGGAGCATAATAACTGAACGCTGCTTCTCCTTATGTAGTTTTGACCCTGGGGACAGAAAGCAGACCTGATCCCAGACGACCTGAGAGGTCTGGATGGTTCGTAACGAAGCAGAAATGTATTTTTGCCCTAAACCATTTAGTGCTTTATAAACTAACAGCAGGATTTTAAAAGCAATTCTTTGACATACAGGAAGCTAATGTAAAGACCTTAGAACTGGAGTGATGTGATCCACCTCTTTGGTCTTAGTGAGGACTCGAGCAGCAGCGTTCTGAATCAGCTGCAGCTGTCTGATGGATTTCTTAGGGAGCCTGTAAAGACACTGTTACAGTAGTCGAGTCGACTGAAGATAAATGCATGGATAAGTTTTTCCAGGTCTTGCTGAGACATAAGTCCTTTTATCCTTGATATATTCTTCAGGTGATAGTAGGCTGACTTTGTAATTGTCTTAATGTGGCTCCTCAAATTCAGGTCTGAGTCCATGACTACTCCAAGATTTCTTGATTTGTGTGTCTTAACGTTACAGATTGAAGTCGAGCACTGACTTTCAATCGTTCCTCCCTGGCTCCAAAAACAGTAACTTCAGTTTTATCCTTGTTTAATTGAAGAAAATTCTGGCACATCCAATCGTTGACCTGCTCAATACAGTTACTCAGCGCCTGTATGGGATCATAGTCCCCTGGTGAAATGGTTATGTAAATCTGTGTGTCATCTGCATAATTCTGGTAACATATTTTGTTGTTTTTCACAATCTGAGCCAGTGGAAGCATGTAAATGTTAAACAAAAGAGTTCCCAGAATGGAGCCTTGGGGAACTCCACATGTCATTTTTGTCAGCTCAGATGTGTGATTACCTATAGACACAAAGTAGTCCCTGTCCTTTAAGTAGGATTCAAACCAGTTTAATACTGTGCCAGAAAGTCCAACCCAGTTTTCAAGTCTGTCTAGTAATATGTTGTGGTCGACCGTGTCGAATGCAGCACTGAGATCCAATAATACTAAGACTGAAATTCTGCCACTGTCAGTGTTTAAATGGATGTCATTGAAGACCTTAACAAGAGCTGTCTCAGTGCTGTGGTGTGGTCGAAAACCTGACTGGAAGACATCAAAACAGTTATTTAGTGCCAAGAAAGCACTAAGCTGTTGAAAAACAGCCTTTTCAATGATTTTACTTAAAAATGGCAGATTTGATATGGGCCTATAATTGCTCATTAGTGAACTGTCTAGATTCCTCTTTTTTAAGAGTGGCTTAATGACTGCAGTTTTCAGGGCCTGTGGGAAAAAACCTGAGGAGAGACATGTTGACAATTTGTATTAAATCTGAGGCCATGTATTTAAACACATTTTTGAAAAAACCTGTTGGCAGAATATCAAGGCAGCATGAGGAGGATTTCAGATGTTGTATTATGTCCTCCAGGTTTTTATGGTTAATAGATTCAAATTGTCTCATGCTATATGAATTGTTTTAAGTGGACACAGGGACAAGACATATCCAGTAACTGACATGGAGGCACTGATTGCTTGTCTAATTGTTTGAATTTTGTATGTGAAGAAGGAGGTAAATTCATTGCAGGCGCTGGTGGATAAAAGTTCAGAGGCTACAGACACAGGAGGGTTGGTTAGCCTGTCGACAGCAGCAAACAGGGCACGTGCATTATTAGGACCGCCTTGCATTTCTCAGCTCTAAATTATAAATGCAAAGTCTCTCTTTATAGACGTCATAATGAACCTGAAGATTTGTTTTCCGCCCCCCGCATTCAGCTTTTCGACACTCTCTTTTTTGAGTTCTAACCAGCGTGGCATTTCTCCATGGAGATCTTCTCTTACCAGAGACCACCTTCACCTTGGCTGATGCAATGGCATCAATAACATTTGTAATTTTAGAATTGAAATTGTCACGATCGTGGTGTGGAGGCAGGTTGGAGGACCCAAACGCAGGACACAGAGAGGAGCAGGTATAGTTCAACGAAGGGTTTTAATAAACAAACAAAAGCGAGCACACTTACAGGTGAGTGGCTGAATAACTGAAATCCAAAATCCAAAAGTACAGGGAGACGAGACAAGACAAGACAAGCAAGGCTGGTTAGGCAGGCAGAGAGTACACGCACGACAGACTGGGGGTAACATGAACAACGACAAAGACAAGACAGAAACACCAGGTATATATACACAGGGACTAACGAGCAGGGCGGGAGCAACACAGGTGACAGACATGAGACTAACGAGGCAGAGAGAGAGAGCAGAGGAAAACAGAGAGACTTGACCTGACAAGCAGACTATATAGCAGATACTGGACACTAGACAGGACAGAACCCAAAACTCAACATACTAAGGCAGATACTAAACTCAAAAGTGCAACACAAAGGATGGCCAACCGGCAGAGCGTGACAGAAATGATCTACTAGCTTATTCACTGAGACCCGTGAGAGGGCGGGTGTTGAGGAGAAAGTCTCAATAAATTTTTCACTAGTGTTTTCAGTGATATGCTGTTTTGTGATTACCTCTGTTTTAACATTTTTGTGCACGCAGATAGCACTCTCAAAGAAAACACAGGAATAATCAGTAAAAACTTAAAGTTTACTATTTCATTAACAACATACTTTTTATTTAACATTATAATATTACTAATACAGTCATTTAGACTAGTTCCTTCTCCAGGCTGTGCCTGTGCTGCACCGCCTACACTACTTACGTTATTCATCACTTAGTTTGTTCCCTCCTGGCCTATTTGAATTTTGTTGTACTGATCAAGTGGTCGATGAAAGATCTCACACATATCATTGCAGGCAAGCTCACATTATCTAGTTTAAACCAACTAAAACATAAAATTACACTGTGTTTCACATGATTTGCTGTAATGTTGCGTACATAAACATCATAGCTTATATAAGACGGTGGCTTTTCGCAGGAAATCTGACCAGTCCTTCACATAGAAAACAGTTGGCCATTACAGGCTGTTATAGGCAACAGAGAAAGTTGGTGAATGCCTCAAATTTTAGGTGGCGTTACAACCTGATGACATATTGGCAATAAATATGTTATGCAAATAAATATATTTAAATTCCTAAAAACTAAAAAATATCCCTTTTAAAGTTGTGTGGCTGATTTAATCAGTTACAGCTCAAAGTGGCGCGGCATTCTTAAGATATGTTGAAAAAGTATTGAATTTTACTTCAAGATTCCTGTATATACCCTGTTCTTTATTGCATTTTGGAAAATATCCCAATTTTTTCTGGAAATGGGGCTTGTAAGTGAAATTGAAATGCCCAGATGCACAGCAGCTCAAAAATGTTGTTATTCTTCAGAAAAGTTCCTGTTTTACTGCAAATTTAATCTTGACTAGAGTAGAACAAGCAAGGATTTTAGCCAGTGTCAGTTACCATCTTGAAGCAGATTTTTCAGCTTTACTGAACAAATTTAAAGTGTTTTAAGTTTTGATTAACAGATAAAATACAGATCCAATAGTTGTGGAAGTGTTCTGTTTGTACTCTCTTGTTTGTACTGTCCAGAATCGATGACACAATAATGTTTTAATAATAATGACATTATAATTTGTGTCGATTATTGTCTCTTCAGACTGATTGGCTGTAACCTCTCAGCGAGAAGCTGTGAAGCTCTGTCCTCAGTTCTCAGCTCCCAGTCCTGTAGTCTGAGAGAGCTGTACCTGAGTAACAATAACCTGGAGGATTCAGGAGTGAAGCTGCTGTCTGCTGGACTGGAGAGGCCACACTGCACACTGGAAACTCTCAGGTCAGATCACAGTACAGTTAGTGTTTAGAGCCTGAGGGGGGCGCCAGAGATCACAGGGGGTGCCCAAAGCTTTATCTGTTTTGAGGTTGTCAAAAAAACTTTTTTTTCCTCACTGAAAATAGTAGGCAGACTACTTAGTAGTAGGGCTGTAATGGTTTTGAAACAGAGACCAAAATCGCAACACAAAAGTCCACGATCTGACAGACAGAACTGTTGAGCTCTCATTAAGACAGAGCAACTGTGTCGGCAGCGGCGGCCGGTGGAGGGTGGGCTCGGTAGCGGTGTATATTGTAGGTTATTTGTATTAACAGTAGGTTATTGTAGGTAATTTTCCACCTTAATTTAGAGTTTATTTACTTGAATCTGCTCCTCTGCTCTTCTCCCCACACTCACACTAGCCTTCATCTCCGGTCTCTCAGGGCAAACACGCCGTCTTGTTCCACCTCTTTCTCTCTCTCTCTGTATGTGTCTCGGCTTACTTTCTCCATCAGCAGTACGTTTCATAAAGTCACCGTGTTTAATAAACTCACCCGTGATTCAGTTTTCAAGTGCACCGCATTTGGATAGAAACTGAAACTTAACGTTAGTAGGTGACATCTGCAGT